GCATACATGATACACAGAAAATATATAGTATATAAATTTACTTCTCCTTTTGTCAAATAGGGATTGAATACACAGGGGACTCAGCATTGAATAAAATGAACAAAAATCCTAGTTCTCATGGATCTTATTTCATTCTAAGGGAATCAGAAATAAAACTATGTTATGTGGTACTTGGGAAAATCATAAGTTCTATGTGGAAAAAGAAATTGTGAAGATAAATGAGAAATAAATAGGGAGCTCAGAGAATAGCTCAGTGTGAAGATGCCTATGTTAGCTTTTCGTCACTGTGATAAATTACCTCATATAAAAACAACTTAGAGCATAAAAGTTTATTTAGACTCATGGTTTCACAGCTTTCAGTCCATGGTCAGCAGGCTCCATTGGTTTTAGGTTCATGGTGAGGCAGAAACAACATGGCAGGAAGTATAAAGGAGGAAAGCTATTTAACTCATGGCAGCCAGGAACGTAGAGGGTAAAAGCAGGTATAGGGGACTTTCTCTTTCTGCTTTTTATGTTTCATTCAGTACTGTGGATAGAACACAGGGGTTTCTCACTGAACTACATCTCAGCCCTTTTGGAGTTTTAATTTTTTTTTTTTGAGACAGTGTCTCACTAAGGCACTTAATTACCCAGGCTGGGCTTAAACTTGTGATCTTCCTTCCTCAGTCTTGGAAAATGGTGGGATTACAGGCATGTGCCTCCATACTTTGCTCTTCTGCTTTTGTTCCATCTAGGGCACTCACTCTATTGGATGATGTAACCCATAGTCAGGTTGGATCTTCTCATCAGTTTGCTGCTCACATGTCAGTCATCTCTGAAAACATCCTCATAGGCACACCTAGAAGTGCAAATTAGTAATTTCTTAGGTGTTTCTCAATCCAGTCAAGTTGACAATTAAGATGAACTGAAATAGTGACAATACAGCCAAGACTTGGAAGAGGTCATCTAGAGAAAGGATATTATAAATAGAGAAAGCAGCAAGTGACCTGCATGTTCATTCAACATTGACAATATCAGTGAGTCTGAAAACAGAATGAATAAGGAAAAGTCAGAATAATTAAGTTACTTGAGGGATGAGGTTCTTTTTAATACCTGAAAGGACTTTGGATTTTATTCTTAGTAAGGTAAAAGACACTGCAGGATTATGAGGAAAGTAACTTTATCTGACATATTTCAAGTGGCTCTCTATGGCTTCTATGTTGAGACAGGTATGAGAGGGATTGATGGCAGGATGATATTATAGCAAGAGATTATAGTCACTTGGACTAAGAAGTAGCAGAAAAGTTGTAAGTAGTTGAGATTCTGTATTGATTCTATAGGTAGAGCCAACAGATATTTTTTGTGGATTAGATTTGATACGTGAGAGAAAGAAAATTTTTGATCTTGAATAATTAGAAGAATGGGGTTTTTATTAACCAAGATATGGAATATTGTGGAAGGGGAAATTGTTTATGTGTGTGCATATGTGTGTGTGTGTGTGTGTGTGTGTGTGTGTGTGTGCATGTACTGGGGAAGATATTAATCCAAAACTCAGTTTTGGGAATGCTAAGTTAGAATTGCCCTTAGACATTCACGTAGATTGAGTAACTGGAAGGTTGGATTTATGAACCAGCAACACAGTGATAATATTTGAAGCTTTAAGGCTGAATAACACCACCAAAATGAATATATGTAGAGAAGATAATATGTATAATGCCTGAGATTTGGACACTTCAACATTTAGAGATCACAGAGAAATGGAAGAACTCATAAAGGAGACAGAGAAACCTTGAATGAAGAAATCCAGAAGATGGTGTCAGGGAAACCAACTGAACCAACTGAAGAGTGTTTCAAGGAGGGAATGGCTGGGTACGTTGAATATTGATAGTAAGCCAAGACAGATGAGGGTAGAGAGCTGATCATAAGGAAGAGGTTATTTGAGACTTCCCATAAACAGTGAAGAAGATATTATGGTAGAGATAAAAATCTCTTTAGAGGGAGTTTGAAGGAGACAGTAGGAAAAGATTCTGAAACTGAGTATAAATGATGAATAAAATGGTAACATTACATTATGCAACTTTGTTCAGTATGTTCTGTGAGTCACACTGTCCCTTATAGCTCTTGTTTATTTTTTAAATTATTGCATAATTTTTAATTATGTGAAGGATTACACAGTATTTAAGATGGTTGTCTCAATAGATCTTAACTCTTGTATTTTAGTACCAAGAATTTGAATCATTCCTACCCTGAAATACTAATTCAGAAGAAATGTTCAATATAAATCCAGAGTTAGGGAGTCAGAAGCATTTTTAAAGATTATATGGGGACAAATGTGGGCATTAAGGCTGGCTGCAGTAGAAATTTTATCATGGAAACCAGGAGGAAATAAAGCTTCCAAAGTTGATCTCTAATTCCTCTCTTGCTTGGATTAGGACCAACACTAAGTAGGCAAATATATTTCTCTACTTCATAGGAAACGCACGTCCAGGTAACAGAAGCATTTTCAGAGATTTTCTTTTTCAAACACTTATGTCACTATTATGAAGTCACTCTTTTTTCTCTTGTGCTAGAGTGGTGGTTTTTTCATTCTTGTTTAGGTACCAATGTACAGGATGTACCTCGCCTTTTGATGCTGTTCTCTCTACTCTCAAAACAATTCATCCTATTTTAGAATACTTTTTAGCTGGAAACATTTTTTTGTGTGTACGTGTGTGTGTGTTCCTGAAGATTTGATTCAGATCTTTTTGTATACTAGGCAAGCACTCTAATGCTAACTTATATCCCCAGACTTTTTTTTTTTTTGGTACCGGGGATCGAACTCGGGTCCTTGAGCTTGCACAGCAGGCGGCGAAACCACTGAGCTAAATCCCCTGCCCAACCTCAGACTTTTTAATTTATTTTTTCCTTTGATTTTTGGGACAGGCTCTTACGAGTTGCTCAGGCTAGCGTCAAACTTGTAATTCTCCCACCGTAGCCTCCTGAGCAGTTGGGATCACCCCAGGAGGTGGCAAGTACCATCACACCTGGAAACTGATGTCCTTTATTATTTTTGGTACCGGGGATCGAACGGTCCTTGCGCTTGCGAGGCAGGCGGCAGAACCACTGAGCTAAACTTTAAGATGGAATCTTTTTTTTTTTTTTGGTACCGGGGATCGAATTCGGGTCCTTGCACTTGCGCAGCAGGCAGCGAAACCACTGAGCTAAATCCCCAGCCTGATATCCTTTTTAAGTAAGAGAATTTCTTGGATCCCTTCATGTATAAGTTCAGGCTAATTTATCTTGGAAATTATGAAGTGATCTGAACATATAAAAATTTTCTAAGTAGAAGATCCTGCGTCTGTTAAGCCTACTTAAAGAGTGGTAGTACGACTTTCCTTATGAATCATCAGAAATTTTCATATTAATTATTGGGCTTGTAGATGTCTATGTCCAAATAGCAGCTTCTGTAGCCAATCTCACTTTTGTTGTTTTAGTGCTGAGAGGTTGATCTAGAAAGAAGGTTAAAAATCCAGATGCCAGGGCTGGGGATTTAGCTCCGTGGTTTTGCCGTCTGCTGCACAAGCGCAAGGACCCAAGTTTGATCCCTGGTACCGAAAAAAAAAAAAAATCCAGATGCCTGTAAGAGCCAAAGAATGAACACAAGCAAAGCAGCCAAGCATTAGAAATCCCTGGGGGAGATGAGGACCGGAGTGCTCCAGAGGGAACGGTGTGCCCCGGTTAAGTGTTGCCATGTGAGAATGCCTACCTCCTGCTAACGCTGACCAAGTTAGAAATTCTGATTTTAATATCTCTCTTAGCTTGGAAATGTCAACTTATTCAAAGGTTTTTGTTTGAATCCTTCTATCCCGAACACATTGTAGGTCAAAATACACATCTGCAGGCTGGATCCCAGCCCTGGCCTGCAGTTTGTGACTTCTACTCCAGAAGCATCAGTGAATGGCAATGATCTAGGCCTGGTTCTGTATGGAGACTTAAAAAACAACTGGTTGCTAATGACCTAAATGTTCTCAATTACAAGTTGTTCTCTCTATTTCCTGTTTTTAAACAAATCTTAAATCACATTAGCCTGGTATTTGAAAGTGGGTGGTTATAACTAGAGTGACTGTATGTCCTAGCCAGCCAAGGACAGCCCTGTCTTGTGCTGGTAACTGTTGGAACTATTAACACCGCTGCCTTCCATCCCCAACACGTTCCAGTTTGGACAGTAAATTACACGGGACCATTTTGTTCTCCTTCCCCTTTTTTTCATTTTTTAAAAACATTTGCTGCTTTTTAAAAAAGCATTCATGGAGCATTTTAAATATATTATAAACAATCTGGGCAAATAGTATAATAAACCTCCATGTAGCCATTGCTTAGCTTAGACAACTATCAAGAACAACTCATTTTTTTTCCTTATGCTTACTTCCTACTCCTATCTTGAGAAAAATTCTGTATTTCATAATATTTTACCCATGGTTTCTTATGCTTTTAAAATCATTTTTATCTTAGTTACTAGTGCACCATTAGACATTTACATTTGAACCCGCTTCAGTTCAAAGTGCCTTTACTCTCTCCAACACTTTGACCACTTTTTAGCCCCCTCCTCCTATACCATAAGCCTGTGCCTTTTTTTCTTAAATACTAGTGCACAGTCACTTCATTAGCATTCCTTGAGAACTTCTCAGGTTGCATTAAATATCTGTCGCTGCTTAGGAGGATATCAACTGTCTGTGTCTAAAAAAAACAAAGATGATCTTCAACTTTATTTTGTCTAGTCCATCAGTTGCGTTCACATTTTCATATCTTGATTTTCCCGTTGATTTGCCCTTTGGATAACTTTTGGTGAATTAACATCATTGCTGGATTACAAAGTTAGAGAATTCTTCCTAAATCCCAATTCCCTGGAGATCTCTTTTTTTTTTGGCACCAGGGATAGAACTCGGGTCCTTGCATTTGCGCAGCAGGCAGCGAAACCACTGAGCTAAATCCCGGCCCCTGGAGATCTCTTTTGTAGTGATTTTGCCTTTTTTTCCTTTTAGATACCAGGGATTGAACTCTGGAACTCAGGACCTTGCACTTGCGAGGCAGGTGTGGTGCCGCTGAGCCTGTGATTTTATCATGTTTGGTGGAATATGTATATTCTGGTCCTTTGAAGAAATTTTTGACTTGCAAATGTCATACAGCAACCATGACCATTGCTTTGATAACTTTATTGAGGACTAAAAATATTTTTGTTAAGATTTCTTGGATTTTTGGTTAATTTTTTTTGAATTGATATCTAGGAATGTACATTATGTAATACAAAAATATATAATTTGATAATATAAATAATAGGTTCTTCAAGTTTGTGTTTTATTTTATTTTAATTGTTAAATAATGATATGTATTGACTCAACGTGATATTTGATATGTGCATACATTGTGGAATGATATGTATTTTTATTAAATTTTATTTTATTGGTACATTTTAGGTATACAATACAATGACATTCATCATTGGAAATTTGCACCTTTACATAATCTCTCTTGGTGAAATGATATTTGATATGTGCATACATTGTGGCAATCACCTGAAATGTAACACAAGGAGTGGCTTTGTCCACTGGCTTCATCTTTTTGTACTGATGCTGCTTACTTCAGTCAGTCTCTGGCCTTCTGTCTTCTTAAGACCAAATACCATGCCTACAATTAAGTGACAGAATGTTGGTGGAGAGATATTTGAAGGTGATGTAGGAACTGCCAAACAAGCAGGGATGACTGAGCTACATTGGAAGATACAGAAATGGATGGTGAAGGAAATGAGGATCTAGTTCTTCCAAATGTTAGCACAGCAATATTTAAAAAGGTCACTTAGTGGAGCAACTACCATGAGGGCCACCCTCCTCCTGAGGATGGTGAGAGCAAAAAATAAAAGGGGATGGGGAACAGATGATACCCCTATTTGGGACCAAAGCTCCTTTGGGACCAAGGAACATTTTTTGAACTTATTCTGGCAGCAAACTGTGTCACCATCAAAAGTTTGCTTGCAAGATTGTTGCCAATATTATCCAAGGGGGAAATTCCTGAGAAATTCACAAGACTGTCTATAGCAAAAGTGACCTTACTGAAGAGAAAGAAGACTCGACATGCAAAGAGAACCAATGGTGTGAAGAGACGTAAAATATGTTGGACACTGTAATATGATAAGGATCATTTAAATACAGTTGCACTACTCTGTGTGTAATTGTTAATAGTAGACAAATGGTAGATAAAAGCAGCAGCAAATCAATTGTGTTAGCATCATGTGCCCTCCTTGCATGTGTAGTCTGAGTTCAGATTCAAAGTCTATGGCTGAATTTCTTCCAGTCTGAGCAAGTTTCTTTTTTCTTTATTTTGAATAGAACTGAGCTGTGAGGTTTCTGTAGAAAGTTGCATTTCTGGCCTTCTCTCTCTTTCTCTGTAAAGCTATTTCTGCCTAATTCATTGTCCGTTTACTTTTAGTGGGATTGTAAAAGCTGGCACTGTAGATGAGACAGCTTGCAAAAAGTGTTCTGAAATAGAATTACCAAAATATTATCTTTCTTTATGAGTTGGAAACTGGAAAAAAAAGTTTCTTGAAGTAAATATTCTAAGTGGGGCTGTTAGGGTATCTTTCAGCCTTGTAGAGTCGAGTAGTATCACTGCCACTGACTAGGCTCTGTGCAGCAGGGCTCCCTTGATTCCTTAAAAAAAAAAAAAACTTCTCAGCTTTAAATACGTTGTCCAGAAACTCAGTTACCACACAGTTTGTGGGTTTTGGGAGAGGTGTAACAAGACAATTTGTTAGTCTTTTAATTAAGAAAGACAATTAGTTAAAATGTAGTTTGAGAACATTTAAAATCCTCTTTTAAAGCTATTTGAAATACAAGATACATTATTATCAATGCGGTCCCTGTGCTACGCAATAAAACAATAGAATTTCGCTTTCTCTCTTTCATGTTTTTGGTGGTGGGTGATGAACCTAAGTCCTTGTACGTGTGAAGCAGTAGCTCTACCGCTGAGCTACATCCCAGCTTGGTTCCTTCTAACTGTAACTCTGCATTTGTTGACCGACTTTCCCTATTCCAAATCTCACTGACCTTTCCCTTGTCTCCAGTAACCATCATTCTACTCTCTACCTGTATGAGTTTAATTTTATTTTTTGAGACAGAGTCTCACTATATAGTTCAGGCTGACTTTGAACTCACTATGTAATCCTGGCTGGCCTTAAACTCGTGGAGCTCCTTCTGCCTCAGCTTCCCAAGCACAGGGATTAGAGGCATGTGCCCCCACACCCAGCTATAAGTTCAATATTTTTGGTCTCCATGTATAAATGAGATCATACAGTATTTGTCCTTTTGTATCTGGTTTATTTCACTTAACACGGTATTATTGTTCTCTTTGTTCCTGCAAGTTGTTGCAATGACAGAATTTCCCTTTTTTTTTGAAAGGGTGAATAATATTACATACATGTTTATATACATTTAAATTCTACTCATCCATTGATGTACCCTTAGCTTTTCTCCACAAATTGGCTATTATGAATGGTGCTGCCATGAACATGTAAGAATATACATCTCCTCAGCAGACTGATTTCAAATACTCTGGACTTGCTGAATCATGCCTATTTTATCATTGCTGAATGAAGTTTGTATTTTATCTATTTGGAAACTTCTAATATAAAGTCTTTTTTTTTAGGCAGGGTCTCACTACATGGTGAGTTCAGGCTGGCCTTGAACTCACCATGTAGCCCACGCTAACCTCAAATTTGTAGCAAGTCTCCTGTCTCAGCCTCCCAAGTTATGGGATTATAGGTGTGCACTACCACACCCAGCTTCGAATATAAAGCCTTATGTTTTTGCTCCTTTTGGATTTCTATCTATATTTTATGTTTTTCTTTGTTAATTTATGATTTTATTCAATATTATATATTAGGATCGTCTATTTGAAGCCGGGCATGATGCTACTTGCCTGTAATCTCAGCACTCAGGACTCAGATCCTACTGAGGCAGGGGGATCACCACAAGTTTGAGATCAACCTGAATTCAAGGCCAGCCTGAACAATATACCCCCTCCAAAATTCTTTATCTATTTGAGTCTTACTTTCTCTTTTCTTTATAGGTTGATAATCTCCATCTTCATTTTCCCCCTTTATTTAATTTTCATAATTGTCCACCTTCTACATTTTCTAAACACATATATGAGCTGCGGTTTAACAATGAGGACTAGACTTTATCCATTTTAAATCTAACTAAATTATTAAGTATTTTCTCAATGAACATATATCCCTCATACCAGATTAAAAATTCTTAGAAATGGGAATCTCAATCTTTTATGTTCCCGTGTTAATGTATTAATATAGAGTTTGAATATGGTAAGGTCTTCAAATATTTATTGACTTCAAACAAGATAGGAAATGTCATGTTTTTTCCTGTGCACTTGTGAACTATATGGAAATAAATAGTTATGTTGCTATTTTATGTATTATAAATATTTAAAAACATTACCAACACTAATAGATTCTAAGTACAGTATAGAAAAGTTTTAGCCACAATTCCACCACTCAGTAGATCAAACTGCTTTTATTAATGTTAAATCCACCGTGATTCCAAATTGATAATTACCTAGTAAGGGCAAACAATTTATCTATCTATCTATCTATTTATTTATTTATTTGAGACAGGGTCTCACTATGTAGTCCAGGCTGGCCTTGAATTTGCAGCAATCTTCTTGCCTCAGCCTCCTAAGCGCTGGGATTACAGGCATGCACCACCACACCTGGTTTAAGGCAAATAATTTCTACACAGTTATCATTGTTGTTATAGCCATATTTTATGTACTTGTTTTAAAAATTATCTTCTGTGAGTTATAGTTACATAGAATACAATGTGCTGATTTCAAGTGGACATTTTGGAAAAGTTTCAAAAATTTTAGCAAATTTAAACAACTGTCTAATAAGCTTGACAATCAAGATATAAAAATTTTTTTTCTCATGTCATTCCAATCAATTCTTCACACTTCCGAATCTAGGGAAACCCTGACATAGACTTTGTCTTATTCAAGATTAGTGTTATATCAGTACATATGTTTAGCAAATATTCTTTTGTACATGGTTTAATTTGTTCACCATAATGTTGTTTATTTTGTAGTTTATTTCTGTTTATTTCTGTGAATTGCTCAGTTTTATAAGTATTCAACTTTTTTCCCATTTTCTTGTTGAGGAACTCTGGACTATTTTAAATTTTGATATATTAGCAAAAATGTGCTATGAACATTTTGGTTCAAGCCTTTGTTTGCTGTATGTTTTTTTTCCTTGGATCAATACTGAATTGGAATTGTTGGACATGTAAGTATAGGTTTAATTTTGCAGAAACAACAAAAGTATATCATTTTAATTTTCCACCAGAAATGCAAGAGAGTACTAATTGCTCTACATCCTCATTATTATGTATAATTATTTATATTTTTATTAATACTATTTTGTAATACTTTTTAGCCTTCATAGTTAATCTTTTAAAATATTCTGAAAAATACATAATATATATATATATTTAATTGAAAAGGGAGAAAAGTATCTGTAAACTTACTGTACCTACAAATTTTTTGGCCTGGACAGGCCTTGGTTAAAATTTGGAATTTTGCTTCAAATTCTCTCTTTCAAAATCTCTCTTTTCTCTTACAGCTCATCACTGCTTTTTATTTTTGGTACCGGGAATTGAACTCAAGACCTTGTGCTTAGTAGGTAGGTGAGGCACCACTGAGCTAAATCCTGGCTCCTGAGCTTCATCACTACTTTCTTCATGCTATCATTTCAACACAGCCCTGTTGTTATAAGTAATATCTCTACTGTAATTTTTCATTACTTTGGGAAGAATTTTTTAAAGACCTTTTATCCTCCTCGTTTTTTATTTAATGTACTAAAGCCTTCAAACATTTATTTTTCTTTTTTTGCTCTGGAGGAATTGAACCCAGGGCCTTTGCACTATGCTACATCTCTAGCCCCATTTTGTTTTAAGATAAGATTTTGCTAAGTCTCTAAATTGCCCAAACTGGGCTCCAACATGCAATCCTGCTGCCTTAACCTCCCAGAATTCTGGGATTACATGAGTATGCCACCACACAAGGCTGCCTTTACATTCTTTAATGATGCACTGTTTGAAGACTTTTCCCATCTCTTGGTAAAATTAGCCTTGATGATGCATTTTGTC